TCCTTCAGGTAAAGGTAAGCCCATCCGTGGGATTACCTTTGCCCAAGGACCCGGGTGCACTTGGTGGGTAATGCAGAAGGATGGGGAAGTCTGATGTGTACCTCAAGGGGACTTAATTTTAGGTGAAAATAGCCAATAAGCTGTATTAGATTAGTAACCACACCACCCTACCAATGCTTTGTTATGGCAAACATGAACGTGGATGAAAAGGACTGGTTCCAGCAACTGATGCCCAGCGACAGCCGCAGACTGTGAATACAGACAGCATCAGATGCATCAGCTCCAGCTGCAACAGAGACTGCATGCCATCCTCCTGTCAAGTCCAAGGACACTCTGCCCTACGGACTGAGCATCGCTCCTCCTGCCTGAAGGGACTGTTATGACAGATGGAACCTGAAGCTATGGACCAAGTCAACTCATGATACATCCTGCAGTGATGGACCATGGACTGAGGGAATGACATCTGTATGCGTATGTCTTTGACCAAGGAAGAGGATTGTAAATAACAATAATGTATTAGAAATATGGAACATGAGCATAATGTAAAATGATATGGAATAAGGGGTGGATACTGTCCTGGTTGGGGCTGGACTAGAGTTCCTGTTTGTTTAGTAGCGGGAGGAGCTGCAGCCCCCTGAGACCCCCGGGGCTCCCAGGCCCCAGTGCCCTCACCTGGGTGCGGGAGCGGGGGGAGCACAGCTGGAGGGCTGGGCCGGGATTGGCCGATAGTCCATGTCACGTGACACTGTGCTCACCATATAAAGGCAGGAGAGGGCTGGGAGAGGGGCCACTTCTGGGAGTGTGGCTGTGGGGCCTGTGTGTTTGGGATTGCTGGCTGGGAGCAGGTGGGTGTGGGTCGGCGGGTGGTGAGCAGCTGTATGGTACGTTACCCGCTGATACTGCTGTCAGTGTATTATTCTGTTACTATTATTAAACTGTTTTTATCTCAACCCGTGAGTCTCCCTTTGCCCCTCCGATTCCCTCCCCATTCCCAAGTGGGGGAGGGTGGGTGAGCGGCTGTGTGGCGTTTAGCTGCTGAGTAGGCTCAAACGACAACACCCCTGTGACCCCTGTGACCATGACCCCTGTGACCTTGACCCCATGACTGCTGTGACCCTAACCCCTGTGACCCCTGTGACCCTGACCCCCATGACCTTGACCCCAGGATCCCCATGACTCTGACCCCTATGCCCTTGACCCCTGTGACCCCCATGACCCCTGACCCCCATGACCTTGTCCCCTGACCCCAGCACTGGTGGTTCAAGCACTGGCCCAGAGTGAGGTTGGGCCCTTCCTGGCCTTTGAGATCGAAATCCTGGAGGTTCTACTGGGAGGTGGGACTGGGGGGACTGGGAGGGACTGGGAGGTGCTCAGGGGGAAACTGGGGGTGGGGGCTGAGAGGACTGGGGGAAGAATGGGGGCATTGGGAGGGACTGGGTGGACTGAGAAAGGAGACTGGGGGGATTGTGAGGGAGTGGGAGTGGAAACTGGGTGGACTGGGATGGAAACTGGGGAGACTGGGAGGACTGGAGGGGCACACTGGAGAGGGTGAGAGGACTGGGAGAGGAGCCTGGGGGCACTGGGAGGGGCTGAAGGGCCACTAGAGGGCGCTGTGGGACAATACTGGTCTATATTGGGATGTACAGAGAGGTGCTGGTGGAGCACTGGAGGGGCATAAGAGCACCATGGGGGTCCCTGGGCCATACTGGGAGGGGGGTTGGGCCATACTAGGGGGAACTGGGATATGCTGGACCATACTGGGGTGAAGCTAGAGGGGCCCTGAGTTATACTGGGGAGCACTGCGATGTACTGGGCCATACTGGGGTGGCACAGTGGGGACCCTGAGTCACACTGGGAGAGCCTGAGACTGAACTGGGCCGGACTGGAAAGCTGGGGGTGTGTGTGGGGGGGTGTGAGCTGCGCTGGAGGCGTTACTGGTGTGTACTGGTTGTTACTGGTGCTGACTGGTCCCAACTGGGCGGCAGAGGTGGCCCCGGGGGGGCGTGGCCAGGCGCTGGGGCGGGGCAGCTGTCAACTGAGGCTCCGCCCCCCCCAGCAGAACCTGCTGATGGGCTGCGACGGGGCGGGGACAGGAGCCAACGGTTGGTGAGAAGGGACCCAAAGGTCCCCAAAGGTCCCCATTTCCCCCCCATCCCCATGTCCTCAACTGTCCCCAAGTGTCCCCCCATGTCCTGAAATGTCCTCAAGTGTCCCCAAATGTCCCCCATGCCCCCAACTGTCCTCAATTGTCCCCAAATGTCCCCATGTGCCACAAGACCCCAAGTGTCCCCAAATATCCCTCATGTCCCCCATGTTCTCCCATGTCCTCATCTGTCCCCAAATAACCCCGTGTCCCCAAATGTCCCCCATGTCCCCTGTGTCCCCATGTTTTACCCCCATGTCCCCTAATGTCCCCATGTGTCCCCATGTCCTCAACTGTCCCCAAGTCCCCCATGTCCCCAAGTGTCCCCAAATGTCCCCCATGTCCCCTGTGTCCCCATGTCCCCCCATTTCCCCAACTGTCCCCCATGTCCCCAAATATCCCCAAATGTCCTGCATGTGTCCCCATGTGTCCCCATGTCCTCAACTGTCCCCAAGTCTCCCCAAATGTCCCCCCATGTCCCCCATATCCCCAAGTGTCCCCAAGTGTCCCCAAATGTCCCCTGTGTCCGCATGTCCCCAAATGTCCCCCATGTGTCCCTCATGTCCCCCCATGTCATCAACTATCCCCAAATGTCCCCCAATGTCCCCATGTCCCCAAGTGTCCCCAAGGATCCGCCACGTCCCTCCATCTCCCCCATATCCCCAAGTGTCCCCAAATGTCCTTAAATGTCCCCAACTGACCCCAACTGTCCCCCCCCCGTCCCCGTGTCACCGTCCCCCCCAGCCCCCAGTTCCTGCTGGGTCCCCACCCCAGCCACGCCCTGCGCCCCCTGCTGGACTTCCTGCACACCCTGCGCCCCCTCGGCTGCCCCGCCTGACCCCGCCACCGGGAGCCACCGGGAGCCACCGGGACCCACCGGGAGCACACCACGAGCCACTGGGACCACTCTGGGGGGGCCAGCTGGGAGCCACTGGGAGCAACTGGGACCATGCTGGAAGAAACTGGGACCATAGTGGAGGAAGTGGGATTGGGGGGGGGGGGGGGTAACTGGGACCATGCTGGTGCAACTGGGAGCTACTGGGAGCAAGTAGTACCACACTGGAAGTGACTTGGACCATACTGGGGGGAAGTGAGATCATGCTGGGGGGCAACTGGGAGTGACTGGGAGTGCGCTGGGGGCGCACTAGGAGCAACTGGTATCAGACTGGGAGGAACTGGGAGCAGTGTGGACTAAACTGGAAGCAACTGGGAGGAACTGGAGGCACCTGTGACCGTGCTGGGGGAGACTGGGATATACTGGGAGAAACTGGAACTATGCTGTGTGCAACTGAGGTCATACTGGGAGCCACTGGGAGCACACTGGGAGGAACTGGGACCATGCTGGGGGCAACTGGGATCATACTGGGAGCCACTGGGATCATACTGGGAGCACACTGCGGGTGAACGGGAGTGACTGGGAGAAAGTGGGATCACCCTGAGGGTGACTGGGAGTGAGTGGGAACATGCTGGGGGCAACTGGGATCACACTAGGAGCAGCTGGGCTCATGCTGGAGTCAACTGGAAGTGACTGGAACCATACTGGGAGTGACTGGGGTCATATTGAGAGTGACTGGGAGTGACTAGGAGCACACTGGGGTCAACTGGAACTGGTGTGGGCAACTGAGATCATACTGGGAGCAACTGGAGTAATACTTGGAGGGACTGGAATGACTGAGAGCATGCTAGGGGTAACTGGGAGTGATTGGGGCATGCTGAGGGCAACTGGGATGTACTGGGAGCAACCAGAACTACGCTATGGGCAACAGGGATCACACTGGGAGTGACTGGAACCATGTTGGGTGTGACTGGGAGCAACTGTGGTGATGGTAGGGGCAACTGGGAGTGACTGGGAGCGACCGGGAGCATGTTGGAGGCAGCTGGGACCATACTGGGAGTGACTGGGATCATGCTGGAAGTGGGATCATACAGGGAGGGATTAGGAGTACGCTGGGGGAAACTGGGATCGTACTGGGAATGTACAGGGGTCAACCTAGGAGTGACTGGGATCATACTGGGGGTGACTGGGAGCAACTGGGAATGATTAGGAGCATGTTGGGTGTAACGGGGATCATACTGGTTGTGACAGGGATTATGCTGTGGGCAACTGGGGTCATACTTGAAACAGCCGAAGTCATACTGGGAGGAACTGGGAGCACACTGGGGGCAGCTGGGATCATATTGGGAGCAACGGGAATCATATTGGGGACAACTGGGAGGGACTGGGAATGTCTGGGAGCATGCTGGGGGTGACTGGTATGTACTGGAGCAACTGGGATCATACTGGGAGCAACTGGAATCATACTCATACTGGAAGTAGCTGGGACCATGCTGGGAGCAACTGGGAGTGATTGGGGGGGCATGCTGGGGGCAACCGGGATATACTGGGATCAACTGGAACTACGCTATGGGCAACTGGGATCATGCTGGGAGCAACTGAAATCATACTAGGAGTGAGTGGGAGTGATTAGGAGCATGTTAGGTGTAACTGGAATCATACTAGGAGCAACTGGGACTATGCTGGGGGCTACTGGGGTCACACTGGGAGCAGCTGGGCTCATGCTGGGAGCAGCTGGAATTACATGGAACCAGACTGGAGGGAACTGGGATCACATTGAGGGAACTGGGAGCGACTAGGAGCACACTGGGGGCAACTGGGATACAGTGGGAGGAGCTGGGAGCACACTGCTGGCTGCCAGGATCATACTGGGAGTGACTGGGAGCAACTGGGGTCACACTGGGGGGCAAGTAGGAGTGACTGGAACCATGCTAGGGGTGACTGAGAGCAACTGGGGTCACACCGGGAGCAACTGGGAGTGAGCGGGACCATGCTGGGAGCAATTGGGAGTGACTGGGGAAGATTGAGTCCATTCAGGAGGTGACTGGGATCATATTGGGGGCAAGTGGGACCACAGCGGGGGCAAACGGATGCGACTGGGGAATCATACTGGTAATGACTGGGAGCATGTTGGGAGGAACTGGGATCATACTGGGACCAGAGTGGGGGGTGACTGGGGTCACACGGGGGGTGACTGGGAGCAACTGGGAGTGATTAGGAGCATGTTGGGTGTAACTGGGGTCATACTGGGAACAACTGGGCTCATACTGGGAGGAACTGGGGTCATACTGGGAGCAAGCGCCTCCCCCCGTGCCCCGGGAAACGCTGAGTCAGCGCTCAGCACGGTGGGGGCGGGGCTATGCAGCTTTATGCTAATGAGCCCCGCCGTCTCTTCCCGCCCCGCGGCCGCCGAGTCACCATCGAGACGCGGCCTCCGGCGGCGCAGAGCGGCCGAGCGGCCGCCTATTGGTCGGGCTGCGGGAGCGGCGGGCGGAAGTGGCGTCAGGGGCCGGGAAATTTGAATCCATCCGAGCGGCGACGGCGGCAGCGACAGGTTTGGGGGGAGGCTCGGGGGGGCTCGGGCGCGATGTGAGGGCGCGGGGGGGTGATGTCATAGCGGGGGCAGGAAGGGGGCGCGGTGGGGAGCGACGTAGGCTGGACTAGGGGGTTTGGGAGGGGGGCACCCGCAGGCCTGGGTGTTGTACCTCCACCGCCCCCCACGGGCCGGACGCCTCATTCTCTCCACCCCTCCCCGCCAGGTGGGCGGAGCCTCGCCATGCCCCGCTCCAAGCCCGCCACGCCCCGGCACCGCCCAGCCTCCGGCCCCGCCCCCGTCCCGCCAGCCCCGCCGTGAGGGGAGGGGAGGGGGGGGTGGGACCCTCCTATGGAACCCCCCTATAGATCCCCCTGACCCTTCCCTGGCCCCCTCCCCGGCCCTATAGAGCCCCCCTGACCCTATAGACCCTTCCCTGACATCCCGCCCCCCCCCCCACCCTATAGAGCCCTCCCAACCCTATAGACCCTTCCCTGACATGCCCCCCCCCCCGCCCAATACACCCTTCCCTGACCGCCCCCCCCCCCCACACCCGGTCCTATAGAACCTTCCCTGATCACACCCCCTCCACCCTATAGACTCCCTCTGGACCCTATAGATCCTTCCCTAACCCCCCCACCCTCCGGGCCCTATAGACCCCCTCTGGACCTTATACATCCCTCTCTAGATCCCCCATAGACACTACAGACCGCTCCCTGACCCCGCCCTGGCCCTATAGACCCCTCCTGGACCCAATGGATCACTCCCTACCCCCAGACCCTATAGATCTCCCAACACCCTATAGATCCCCCCAACCCTATAAAGTCCCTGATCCCCAGCCCTATAGATCCCTCCTACACTCTATGGGTCCCTCCCTACCACCCTGCATCCTATAGACTCCCCCAGACCCTATAGGTCCCTCCCTTTCCCCCCTGGACCCTGTAGGTTCCCCCCCAGTCCTTATAGTTCTCTCTGTTTCCGCAAACCCAGCCCCTATAGATTCCCCCGGGCCCCGTTGCTCCCGCCACCCCCTCCAGGCCCTATAGATCACTCCTGGCCCCTATAGACCTCCTGGGGAGAGGGACCCTATGGATCCCTGCCTCCCCCCGACCCTGGACTCCTCTTTTATTCCCTGCCCTGGGCCATATAGATCTCTTTGGACCTTATAGATCCCCCTGTCACCCCCCCCTGGCCCTATGGATCCCTCCCAGACCCTATAGGTCCCCACGTCCTTCCCCCCCAGCCCCTACAGATCCCTCTGTATCCCCCATGCAGCCCCTATAGATCCCTCCCAGCCGTGTCCCCTCACACTGGGACCTAGAGATCCCCCGGCCCTGTACCCTGAGTCCCCCCTGCCCCCCCCACCCCCTGTCCCCTTGGTGTCACCCCCCTGTCATCCCCCTCCCCCATTGCCAGCCCCACTGAGGCTGTCCCTGTCCCCACCCATACCCCATTGGTGTCCCCCCCTGTGGCCCCCCTGTCCTCTCCAACACTGTCCCTGTCACCCCTGTCCCTCCCCGTGTCCCACTGGTGTCCTCCCTGTGTCCCCCCCCCGTCCCAACCCCCTGTCTCCCTCAGCGCTGTCCCTGTTCCCCCATTTCCCCTCCCCATCCCCCCATGTCCCCCCCGACGCTGTCCCTGTCCCCCCATGTCCTCCCCTGTCCCCTCTGACGCTGTCCCTGTCCCCCCATGTCCCCCCCATCCCCCCTGATGCTGTCCCTGTCCCCCCATGTCCCCCCGTGTCACCCCCGTCCCCCCTGGTGCTGTCCCCCCATGTCCCCCCCATCCCCCCTGATGCTGTCCCTGTCCCCCGTGTCCTGAGGGCTGCGCCCCGGCCAGCGGTCACTGGAGGAGATCTGGAGGTACCAGAGCAGCACCCACCTGCTGCTGCGCCCCGGGCCCTTCGGCCTCCTGGTGAGCCCCAACACCCACCCTGGGGGGACCCCAAAACCTCCCCGGGGGACCCCAAAGCTCATTCGCCCTCCTGGGTTGCCCAGAACCACCCTGGGGGGACCCCAAAATCAATTCCCAGCGGGACCCAAAACCCACCCCAGGGGGGACCCCAAAACCAACCGCTCCCCTGGGCGTCCCAAAACAACCCCGGGGGCACCCCAAAAGCACCACAAGGGACCTCCAAAACCCACCCACCCGCCTGGGCACCCCAAAACCACCCTGGGGAATCCTAACACCCAGCCCGGGGGGACCCTAAAACGTGTCCCCCCCCTCAGGCAACACCCAAACCCACCCACCCCCAGGGGGGACCCCCAACCCCCACCCACTTCCCTGGGCACACCAAAACCCATCCCTGTGGAGACACCCCCAAGCCCCCCTGGGGGCACCCCAAACCAGCCCCCCCCACCCCCTTGGTACCCCCAAACCCCCCCTGAACCCCCCAGATCCCCTCCATGACCTCCAAAACCCCCCCAGGCACCCCCAACCCTCCCCTGTGCCACCCACCTCCCCCAGCCCCACAATGTCCTTGTCCCCACCCATGACGTGGGTTCCCTCCCCCTGGCCTTGTCCCCCCGCTCCCCCCGGTGACTCAGTGGCCTTGTGTCCCCCCCAGTGTCCTTGGGGTGTCCCTGTCCCCCATCCGCAGTCCCTGGGGGGAACGGGCTGTCCCCTGTGCCCCTCCCCACAGAGGGGCACTGTCACCATGCCCGGGGGGTCCCCAAAATGTCCCCAAGGTGCCCTCCACATCCCTGCTGTCCCTCGCCCTAGGGTGGAGTGTCCCCAGGTGTCCCTAAGGTGACACCCCAGGGTGTCCCCATGCTCGGGCTGTCCCCAGGATGCCCCCTCCCTCCCCCCCACCCCCTGCCATGGGGGTGTCCCCCCAGCCGGGGTGTCCCTGCGGTGTCACTTGGGGTGTGCCCGTGTCCCCAGGTGCAGGAGATCTGCCTCGAGTTCACTCGGGGGGTGGATTATCGGTTGGCAGCGGATGGTGCTGGTGGCCTTGCAGGAGGTGGGTGCTGGTGGGGCCCGTGGGTGCTGGGGGGGGGTCCTGTGGGTGCTGGGGGTGGGCCATGGGTGCTGGGGGTTCATTTAGGGGGGTTCTATGGGTGCAGGGGGGGTCCTATGGATGCTGGGAGGGATCTGAGGGGTCATATGGGTGCTTGGGGGGGGAGTCTGGTGGGGGGGTCCCATATGGGTGCTGGGGGGAGCATTTGTGTGTCCCCAGGGTGCTGGGGGGGGGCCATGGGTGCTGGGATGGGTTTGAGGGTGGTTCTATGGGTGCTGGGGGGGGCGGGCATTGGAGGGGGGTTCCTCTGGGTGTTGAGGGGGGGTCCCATTGGTGGTGAAAGGGGTCTGGCTTTGGAGGGGCCTATCCCTGCCCCCCGGGGGTGTCCCCAAAGGGAGGGGGGTGTGTCTTGGATTGGGGGGGGGGGGGGGGGGGGGCCCTGAGTTGTTTGGGATATTTTTGGGGGGGGGGTGCAGGCGGTGGAGGCGTTCACGGTGCGGCTGCTGGAGGACACCTCGCTCTGCTCACTGCACGCCGGGCGCGTCACCCTCTACCCCAAGGACCTGCAGCTGGCCCGGCGCCTGCGCGGCTTCGAGGGGGGCCTGGCCTGAGGGGCGCCCCCCAAAACAAAGATAAACCTCTTGGGGGGGTCACCAGCCCCCCCCCCCAGGTCACCGAAACACCCCCTTGATCAACACCCTCCCCTCCCCCCCCCCCCAATCCCTTCCCCTGGGGCACACGCCCACCACGGAAACACCCCGCGGGGTCTGTGTCCGTGTGTCCCTCTTTATTGGGGATTCTCCCCCCCCAAATATTGAGGACCCTATTGGGGAACCCCCCTGGGATCCCACCCCAAAACCCCTGGCCATGGGGACCCTGCACCCCAATTTCACCCCCAGAGACCCTCACGGGTCCCCACCATTTTAGGGACCCCCCTCAACTCTTGGGGATCCCCCACCTTAATGGGAACCCCCTCCTAACCCTTGAGGACCCTATTGGGGATCCACCCCTGGGATCCCATCCCAAAACCCCCAGCCATGGGGATCCTGCACCCCAATATCACTCTCAGGGACCGCCCCCATCCTAATGGGGACCCCCACCAACACTGAGGACCCTATTGGGGACCCCCCCCAGGGTCCCACCCCAAAACCACCTGTGATGGGGACCCTGCACCCCAATATCGCCCCCAGAGACCCCCAAGGGTCCCCACCCTTTTAGGGACCCCCCAAGCCTTGAGGACCCCCCAGCATAATGGGGACCCCCCCCAAATGTTGAGGACCCTGTTGGGATCCCCTCCCTGGGATCCCACCCCAAAACCCCCAGCCATGGGGATCCTGCACCCCAATATTGCTCCCAGGGACCCCCCCATCCTAATGGGGACACCCCCATTCTTTTGGGGACCCCCCCCACCTTAATGGGGACCCCTGCAAGGACCTGCCCCCCAATTACCGCCAGCCATGGTGATTTCCCCATCCCCCCCCATGGGGGACCCCGCAAGGTCCCCCCCATTTATTGGGGACCCCCCTGCCACCGCAGCCCCCCAATAAACGTGTGTTCCCCCAACATCACCCCTGGCTGCTGCTTCGTCCAATCGAGGGGGGCGTGGCTTCATTAGGGTGGGGCTTGGGGTGCCCCCCAATATAGGGGCTCCTCCGGGGTACACACACACACACCCCCCCCAGCGATGACAGCGGTGCTGGTGCTACTGGTGGGGCTGGGGGCGGGGCGAAGCCCGGGGGGCGGGGCTGAGGGGCGGGGCCAGCCAGTGGTGGCCCTGCACCTGCTCCACCCGCAGGGGGCGCTGCACCTCGCCTGCCTCGCGCACCAGCACGGGCCCGTCCTGCACATGCGCATGGGGGGGGGCACCCCAAAACCACCCCCCGCCAGACCCTGACCCCTCCCCCAAACCCCCAAAGCCTCCCCTTGGGAGACCCCAAAATCCCCCCCCAGACCCTTCAAGAAAGACTCCATCCATCCGCTTCCCTCCATCCATCCACCCACTGAGCCAACCAACCAGTCAAACCTCTGCCCATCCATCCGCAGCTCCATTCGTTCAACCAAAGAGTCCCTTGATCAAACCCTCCTGCCACCAATCTGTCCTTCCAATCCTCCAAACGCTCCCACGCAAACATCTGGCCAGCCCCCACTCAGCACACAAGAGGAACCCATTTCACAACCGTCCCAAGCACCAGCACAGGCCTGGTCCCAGCTCCTGCCGTGACCCAAACCCAGAGCCCAAAGGGGACGGGGATGGGATGGGACCTGCAGGTGCCCCCTCACCTGTGACGGCGTTGGTGGAGACGGGGCCCAGACGTTTCCGACCCCACGCCCCGTACAGGTTGAACTTGTAGCGGCGCGACGGGGACAGCCCCGGCACGGTCACCGTGCGGGAACCCCCCGTCCACG